AGAATAAAACCATACCCAAGGTGAATTGCAGTGGGCATGGGGCCTGGAGTGGAGACCCAATGCCCATCTGTAGACAATTGGACATCCCCTCACAGAGGGGTCACAGGGAAGAGATGAGTCAGTCAGGGTGCAGTATAACACCGATGAAACACAACTTTCCTCTAACTCTGGTGTTTCCTTCATCCAACTATTATAACCTCAATTCTACCTTACAAATACGATTAGACGAGAACATGCACACTGCTACAGATGAGAGCTGCCAACAGGGGGAATCCAGGATAGATAAACCCCTCAGGCCAACAAGGAGAATAGAGATACCAGGAGGAATAGAGGAGGGTGGGTGGAGAAAGGGGAAATCAATCACAAGGATCAACTAGAACCCCCTCCCAAGGGGCACAAATGATGGGAAAGTGGGTGAGGGGTAATGGAAGACAATGCAAGATATGGAAAAAATCCATAACATTAAGGGTTTGTGAGAGACGGCAGGTGAGGGAGGGGAAAGAAATGAGCTGATATCGGGCTCAAGTGGGAAGAGTGCTTTGAAAATGATGGTGGCATATGTGCAAATGTGCTTGACACATCGGAGGAATGTATGGATTGTGATGAGATGTGAGCGTCCCCAATAAAAGTATATAAAAAGAAAAGAGAAAGTATGGAAGATGAAGGCTGTCTTCACTTCCACAGAGGATTCTGGCTGTACTTCTTCCAAGATAAATTTACCCTGAAAGTCCATGGTATACTGGATATTCTTCACCAGCATTGTAATCCCAATGCGTCCCTTTGTCGAGTTTATTCACTTCACGTTTATCTATGAGGTGACTGAAGACACCACGGCGTGGCTGAGTCACACTTTCGTCCTCAAAGACTTCAGAGGTCTCTGCCAACAGGCTTGCCCAGTGTATCCTGTCATTTGAATTCTTTACTGCTGCTTCTGTGGACATCGATGGTGGATCTGAGTAAAATGAAATCCCTCAGTCTTTCTCTGCCTATCCCGCTGTGGCTTCTTGTTGTGAAGATGTGGGTGTGGTTGACACTGTAATCCATACTGAAGGATGGCTGTAGTCTTTGACCTTAGTCCCTAAGTGCTTCAAGCCCTGCTTTCAGCAGGGAAGGGTGTGCCATCTGCACGTTGCAGGTTGTTAACGAGCCTTCTTCAGTCCTGATGCCACGTCCTTCTTCGTGTTTGCTTGGCTTATAAAGTGAACAGAGACAACCCGATGCAACCTCTCCCGATTTCAAACCATGCTTTCTCCCTGCTCTGTTGCAACAACTGCCTCTTTTTTTTTTTAAGTACAGGTTCCACACAAGCACAATTAAGTGTTTTGGAATTCCCATTCTTTGTATTCTTTTCCATAATTTATGATCCACACAGTCAAATGCCTTTCCATAGTCAATTGAACACAAGTAAAAATATACTGTGCAAGACTAATGACTTATTAATTGCAGACACCGTGTCAACAATAAACTAGACCTGTGGAAAGGCACCCTGGTGACCCAGCAGATTATGATGACAGGGCGGATTATGTGGTGCCCTGTGACAGGTGCACTGTGCTGTTAAAGCAACCTCGGAGGTTCAAACCCACCAGCCAATCCTCAAGAAGGGGCTCTCACTCCCGTGAAAGTGCCAGCCTTGGAGACTCTGTATTTAGGGTTGCTGTGAATTAAAGTGGGCTCTGGCACTGGGTCCACATGTGGACCTCACTAGATGTAATACACAGGAATAAAACCACCACATCGATGGAAAGAGATGAGAGGGGAGTTCATCACTGGAATAAGGCCAGAAGCTGACTACATATCAATTGCTTGTATGCCAACTCAAGTTGAAGCTGAAGGAGTGAAAACAAACAAGTAACAGCCATAGGACAACCTGAGTATAAAAAAATGTTGAACGCACTGCCATGGAGTCCATCCTAACTCAAAGCAACCATTTAAGACAGGGTAAACCTGCCTGTAGAAATGCACATCTTTGTCCCTCGGAGCTGGCTTGTGGTTTCAAACTGCTGACAACAGCTCAATCTGTAACCACTACACCACCAGGGCTCCTTCAGCCTGAGAATGGCCCATCTGAATTTAGAGACCTTCTCAAGAATGGATCTGATGCACTGAACACCACTGACTGATGGCATGAACACCACCATTCGTACATGAAGAAAGCAAAAATGTCATTTAAAAGAACAGGAAAGGCTATCAAAAGATATAGCATCTGGGATCTTAAAGACTTGAAGGTAAACAAGCAGCCATCTAGCTGAGAAGCCACAAAGCCCCCATGGAAGCCGCACACCAGCCTGTGTGATCATGAGGTGTCAAAGGGATCAAGTATCAGTATTCAAAGAACAAAAAATCAAGTCATTGTGAATGAGGGGAGTACAGATTGGCGACCCAAGACCCATCTGTAGGTAACTGGACATCCCCTTACAGAAG